TCCATCGAATCTTGGCGGATCACGGCGTTGTGTGTCTTTATGTCACAGAATTGAAACTCAATCGAATAGTATTATCATTGTAATTATTTGAAGTAAAGAGAGCCGCAATAGCAAAATAATATTCCTTTTATTGTATAAAGAGTTTAATCATTGAGTTTTGAGTCATTTTAGCCATTTATTTACTATGTAACAAACCGAGTTATTGTACTCGACAAGGGATATACACCGGTTGCTTTGATTGAACGTCAAATTATACAAGCGAATAAAAAATAAATTCTAAAGAAATATCAACTCAAGCTAATTCGTATATACATAATGGTTTCCTATTAGTTTGAGACTATTTAATCACAAGTTTTGGRCCCGTTTAACKACCCGCTTTCGCTTTAYTTTTGCTCACGAAAACTTTATAGAATATAATTTTCCGCTTCTTTGCATGCTCTATTGCTTGACTTTGTTTGATTTAGATTCCTAAATGAGATGCCTATTGCTCAAAAAGTCTTCAAAATGCTATTTTTTTGACGATATAGCTTCAATTTTAGATTTTAATATCTAAGACTCTGAGCCCTAAATAATTCGAGATTAGGGTGAGATTAGGGGCCGTGAAACATCGTTTTATTCACTCGAATTTGGAATTCTTTACAAGTTTATCAAAGTTAAGAGCCCTACACGTTATAATCTTAACTCARAATAGAAATTCGTTGCGTTTAACTACCCATTATCRATGACTAAARATGGCRAATKTACCAAGGATTAGTATGCAGCATTGTAAAGTTTGTCTGAGTTCTCGACGGGGTGCAAAATGTGTGACGTCATCTGTGCGGAGCGCTATTGATTCTAACACAAATAAAGAAACAATGAGTTAGAATTATTTATACAAACTAAGATGATGAAGTTTTATACAGTTTGTATTTACACCAAACGCCAGGTTTCTCTGATCTGATGAGACCGTCATAAGCTAGCGTGACGCCGTATGACATGAACACATGACGTCATGGTGAATTTTAATGACCCCCCTTTGAAGCGTCTGTAAACGAGCTCTAACCACATTGTCTATTCCGGCCGCGCAAGCATAAAGGTCCATTTTTGTCTTTCTATGATACATTGCACCAGAATTCAGACATGCGTTTTTGATCGCGCTTGCTTGAACACAAGAAAATAGAAGCTAGGCTAAGTATCCCAGGCGTCACTCGAGTGACGAGTCACTCAAGTACTGTGGAAGACAACGTGCTAGACATGTGATATTCTATCACGTGCCTTCATGTAAAGTAGAACAGTGCTGAACAGTGGGCGTTTGTTTAGTCAGTTGAATCGCTCTGAAAGACAAGATGGTTGTATCACGAAAGGATGTTTCTAGCTCATGAAGCAAAAGGTAGATTTCGAGCTAATAGCCCGTGAGGCCGAGTCCGCGAGGCCGAATGGGCTATTAGCTCGTAGTCCACGAGGCCGAGAGGTCTAATTGTTTTAGTATAAACATACTAATCGGTCAAATAATGAAAACAAATTGAAATATACTTAAAATGATTTAGAATTTAGAATTTATTTATTTTGATTTTCCCGCAAGTGGTCTATCACAAATTAGACCATTAGTAGAGTAGCCAATCACAGCGCAGTATGAGTGATAGACCATTAGTATGTTTATACTAATGTAAATTAGAAATACTTCTTCTTTATTACTATAACTGGCTCGGTTTAAAAGAAAAACACCTTGTGGGCGACCGAAAAACAAAACACGCCGACAAATCAATCGATTTGCATAAAATAATAGATGAATTTTAAGTTCGACTAGATTGTATTTTACAATTTTTATAGCACGCTTCAGAAAAACATGTTCGCGTCTCGTATCGCAAGATAGGGCCAAACTTGGTTGTAAGATAGAAATCGCCGGACAAAAGAAGGATTAAACTGAATACATGAAAGAATCTGTACATAATTTGACGGCCGCCGCCATAAAAAGATATCGGTTCTTGTACGTACGGTTCAGAAGTCGATCTTTTGCCGCGTGTAATCTAATTCTTGCAGGTGCTCTTATTCACGAGAGGTTTTTATTCCAAATCAAGAAAAACCTACCAATCTCAATAAATGCAGAGCACGAAATGCTCATAAACTTAACTCCAGCAATTATATTAGATGCAAACACGCAAAATATCGACTTCTGAACCGGGTAAAAGAACTTGATGACTGAAATAATTTTTCTGCTTTGTTTATGCAAATTTATCTCTTAGTCAAGCATCAAGGTTGTAATGAATATTTATATTGATCATTTCGTAACATTTTGCGTGTCAGAAAAACTCAAAAATAAGCTTTTCAGAAATGATTCTTCGTCAGCATTAAAAAACATGTGCTTATCAATCACAAGCGAAAACTGCAACCTCGTTGTCTTTTGAATACCCAAGTGGGGGTTTGACGCTAAAATGAGCAATTCTGAATAATTTGTGGACATGGCTTTATGATTCTTGCTGTGCTTTGTGAGCACACCGCGTTGTCCTTTCAACCTGAATGAGCGAGTGTTTAATGGTTATGCAAAGTACAGATTACATGCATCTTTGGCTTTATGGTTGGTCAAGCGAAAGTCAAGCCACGATTTAATTATTGTATATTTTATCAAACATTGTAGAGCACATTTTACGACATATGTCAGCTATAGCTCATCATAGTGCCTTTCGTTTAATTTTATTCCTTTGACAGAATTGTGAGAAGACAGTAGAAGACATAGAATGTTGAAACTTTTTAGTTATTAAATACTGGGATACTAAAAATGTGCACTGGTGCATGGGGACTCCATCAAATAATATAGCATGTATTGTAACTACAGTGTTTATCTGTAGTGCTTTCAGTTCCAATTGTACTTTTTTAAGTCGTGCAAGGTGGATCGGCCGGTATAGAATCCGCCATTTTGTTTATGATTTTCAAGAGAGATAAACCTACATAAAACGACGGCAGACCACCGAAATTTCACAAATCAGGTCTCAAATGTTTTAAAAATATGAAAGAAAAACAAGATGTTTCGAAAAAGAAAAAATATTTCTAAAGATAACCGAAAGACCACCGTAATTTCACAAATCAGGTCTCAAATGTTTTTAGAGTACAATAGAAGAAGATGTTTAGAGAAAAAACATAATATTAAGAAAGATAACAATGCAAAAAAACAGGGTTTTGCTTTTATTAATGCGACATTTTCACGCCATTACCAAGCAAATGTTTATTAGAATAACGTACAGATGTTAAATTGTTAATATACTTGAAGCACAGATACAAATTTGACAATTTTAGTTAAAAAAAAAAAAAGAAAGTACCAAACAAAATTAAACTGTTGGATTTACGATCAAATGCGTTTTATAAAAGACAAAAGACCTTCGATTGACGTTCAAGGTGACTCCGTGAAAGCGAGCTTTCTATTAATAGCGTCTGTAAATATATTTTGTCACTTATGTTAATTTATTCAATTAACTTATCGACACTTGTACATTATTATAATAACAGTTTGCTTGGCAATGGCGTTATGACGACACCGAAACGTCGCATCAGTAGCAGAAAAAACAACACCGCCTGAATGATAGCGGACATTTTACGAATTGTTTTTATTAGTCGGACTAGCCGAAGGCGAGGTCCGACTTTAAAATTACCTTTTAGCCTATCTGTGTGTCATGTCGCGTTTGGACCACCGGAAGTTAAGAATTTAATGATTAACTATTGGGTTGGCTGTGTTATTACATGACCGGAAGCTCAAGCGTATTGATGTACGAATATCGTCAGTAAATATCATATGCTACTTGCGCTTTTAGATGACAAAAAAACTATTCGTTTACAAATGTGGTATCTGTGATCTCATCGGAATGCACCAGTCTAGATATCATAAGTACGCGCATGTGCAGATCGCTTGGTGCTTCGAGTAGTATGCTTACGAAACTAAATCAATGGCCTTTCTAGCGTTAGGCAGTCCTGTGTGGGCAAAGATTTCAAATTAGAACAATAAGAAACATTTTTTATCAATAAAAAAAAGGCGAGTTTATGATTTTATGGTATCATTTACTTTTGGGCCTGAGAGGTCAACGTTCACTTAGCATCACATAATCTACATACCAACGTTTGATTTTATCAGTGAAGGCAAGGACTACTTTAAACGTTCATTGCTGGTATTTTTTTTTGCTAGTATTAATTACATGACCTTTTAGGTCAAGTTTATTTTAGTCTCAAGAGAGTTTGGATATTTTGAACTAGACGCTCTTATTAGACCGTGAGTTCGGCTATTTTGGAGAACAATTAAGAAATATATATTTTAATCTAATTTTTATCTTTTATGTAATATCCTGCTGTCTTTCTCAAGTTTCATTTACATTCTTAATATCATATGATTAGACAAAATATAACATCATAATCTTTTCACTCGTGCCTATCAATTTTCAAAAATAGCTAGTCCGACTTCACGCCCCAGGGGCGTCTAGTTTGCAATAACAGTGAAATTTTTACTTATAAGAATTTGTGTTTTTATATAGGTGTAAATTTACTCAATATAAAGAATGTTATGGTCAAAAAAGGCAAGAAATATGAAATCCAGAAGCTACAATTTGTAGAATAACAGCAGAAAAGATCACATGTTTTCTATTGATGTGGTATGTACAAACAATGTAATATTAATT